TTGAACTTGCTCTGATCCTCCTGTTTCAGTTTAACTAGGGCTGAATTTGGCGGCATGTGCCATCCTACCTGGTTTAGCCTTTTGTTGTGTATATGTATGTGTTATTTTTATTTATTTACTTTGAGACAGAGTCTCACTATATATCCCAGGCTGGCCTCATACTCGGGGTACTATGTTTTGAATGCTGGAATTAAGGTGTGTGTGTGTGTGTGTGTGTGTGTCTCAACATGCCTGTTTCCTCAATCTACTTTGACATTGTATTTATATGTTTGTTTTTTTTTTTTAAAGTCTATGTATTTGTTTGTTTTTGAGGGTCTCACTTATGTAGTCATGATTGGCCTGGAATTGTTTATGGAGACCAGACTGGCCTCACAAACTCAAAAAGTCTACCTTCCCCTTCCTTCCATTGCTGGGGTTAAAGGCTACCACTCTCAGTTGTTTATGCTTTTACCCCAAGAGTATGGACACCCTGGAGTGGCTTTTAAAATTTCTCTCTCTCTCTCTCTCTCTCTCTCTCTCTCTCTCTCTCTCTCTCTCTCTCTCTCTCTCTCTCTTTCTTGAGATGAGGGTTTCACTGTGTAGTTTTAGCTGCCCTGGTGCTTGCTATATAGATCTGGCTAGCCTCAAACTCTCAGAGATTTGCCTGCCTGTGCCACCCAAGAGCTGGAATTACAGTCGGTTAAAGTTGGGCTTCACTACTCCTGGCTGCTTTTAAAATGTTCTGAAGTGAGAGGTGACTCAGATGTTTAAGAGCACTGGCTGCTCTTGCAAAGGACCGTCCCAGCACCCATATGTCAGCTCAGAACCATCTGTAACTCCAGTTCCAGGGGATCCACTGCCTCCTTTTTGCCTGTGGGCACCAGACATGCATACATGTGGTGCATATACAGACGTTTAGGCAAGACACTCACACACACACACACACACACACACACACACACACATATATATATATATGCCTTTAAAAAAAGCATCCTAATGTATAATGCATGATAGATATTGAGCTAATGGTTATTGTTAATGATTAATAAAATCCAGGAATAAATTAAATCCTAGGGTAGATTAAGTAGCCCTTCCAGTCTTTTTCCACTGACCTTTTCATATTGATGACAATAACAGCCAGCATTTTTAAAGCATTACTAAGTACCAAGAGAAATTGTAAGTTTTTTTCTTTCTTTGTGTCTTTCTCTTAACAATTTTGTAAATAAAACGATGCTTTACAACTTTCATTTTGTAAATGAGGCATTGAGATTTAGGGAAAACACATGATCCATTTAAGGATTCCTTAAACTCAGATGTTTCTGACTCAACGTTCATATTCTTGACTGCTGCCTTCTAAGAAAGGTCTTGTTTTAAGAGTTGTTTTTATGGAAATCCAAATAATTGAGTTAAAATCTCAGTCCAGGATGCAATGCCTAAGTGAGCCACTCGGTTCACTTCTTGTCTTCATCTATGTGTGTAGTTGGAAACATCAGTTGAAACACTTCACTGCTTCTAGTTTTATGTTTGACCTCATAAAACTCAGTTTATAATCCTACCTCACCTAGGTCAGCTGTCCTAGATTTCAGGCGATAATGCCAAACCATTCTCCTAGTATGTTGTTAGTACTAGGAACACCAAATAACACTGAGAATTGGTTAGCTTCCTGGAGAAAAAATTGTCAACTTGATAAACTAGCCCTTACAACAGCAAATTTTAATATTCCTTTCCCCTGTCTCTTAGAGATTGAAAGTCGGGCCTTATACATATTGGCCAAGTATTGAAATACTTTCTACCACTGAATACTAACACCTTACTCTAACATTCTTAATTCTACACATGGTAACATTGATACTAAAAGCTTCATACATACTAGATATGGGATGTAGAGACAAGTGGATCCCTCTGTTCCAGGACAGTTAGGGATATTCAGGACTATACTGTCTCCAAACTGAACCAAAACCAAAACATCCCCCACATACATATACAAACAGCAAAATAAACAACCCTGCCTTCTCAAACCTCCATACATTTATTAAGCCCTTAATACTTTTACTGGATGTTTCTTAGATAATGTTTATCTAGTGTTAATCTTACCTATGTCTATCACATTTAAGACAGTGATACTTACTGTCTTAAGGTACTATGCTTTAGGGTGTTTGTGTGTTGCTAGGGATGGGATCCAGGGCCTTGCACATCTATACTCTCAGCTTCTGTTATTGTTTGTTAATCAATTTTCCTTACTTGTATTGGTATTTTGTTGCATGTATGTCTGTGCACCACTTTCTTGCCTTGCTCCTAGAGGAGGCCAGATGAGGGTATTGGTTCTGTAGAGCATCTGTCTACAGATGCTGGAGGACGGCTAGTGTTCTAAACCACTGAGCCAACTCTCTAGCCCTTAAAAACACTTTTTTTTCCTTTTAGAAAAAGATGACCTAGAATTACATAGACCAGGCTGGCCTTGAAGTCATAGAGCTCCATCTGCCTCTGCTCCTGAGTGCTGGGATTAAAGCTGTATGACACCATGCTTTGCTTGCTATTTGTTTTTAAATTTCGGTTGTTAGATTAAAAACAATTAAACAAGCAAATTTTCTTCAGCTGCTGTAAGTTATATTTCTACATCAAGTTCTCTTTCTTTAAAAAGCCAATAGAGAAATTGGTAAAAAAAAAAAAATAATAATAAAATTGTTGATTTTATGTTTGTCTTTCTCAAGAACCCATTTCCTTATCAGTTGTCTCCGCTACTGAATCATTTTATTGAAGGTTTCTAATCTTTTAGCATTAGAACTATATGTATAATACGTCTTCCTTTCTTCTGTTTTGAGACAGGGTCTTGCTGTGTTGTTCAGGTTGGCCTCCCAAGTTAAGAACTTCTGCTTCAGTCTCTTCAGTTCTTGGGTTAAATGGCATGAGCCACTGTACTGACCTAATAATTTTTGTATATATTTAAAAGTGGAATTATATAGGAAACTACTCTTACTTTTTTCTTGCAAGTTTTAAATTTAATTTTACTTTTCTGGACAGTCAAAAACATCTTTATGGGTATCTTTGTCTTTCCTATATCTCTTTAGAGGGTCTAGGAAGGGGGGAGAGGCAAGTAGTGTTGAAGAAGAGACCAGTTTCATGCTGTTCTTTACTTCCCATGGAGTATTAATATTTCTAAGGGACAAGAATAAAGGGCAGAAGATGGGCACTCTCTTTGGGTGGAGTCTTTTTTAACTTGCTTTTTTTAAAGGTGTGCCCTAAGTTCCCAAGTGAGTCACTTGGTTAGTGTGACAGCTCATCTACATGTTCTCTTCCAGATCAACAGATGTATTTACTTTCAGTTTTTAAATGCTATTTGAATGGGTAAAGATGTCTAGGAGAATTTCATAAAGCTTGAGATCAGGCTGGTTTGTATTCTGGATTTTGGAAGTTTGTCTTCAGAGAGTGAGAACTCTAGAATTAAGAGAAAGGGATTACACAGAAACTGCTGGCCTGAACAAGGGGGGAACTCATGGATCCCAGTCTGATAGCTGGGAAACCAGCATAGGACTGACCCAGACCCCCTGAATGTGGGTGTTAGGAGGACTGGGCAGTCTATGGGGCCTCTGGTAGTGGGTCAGTATTTATCCCTAGTATAGGAATGGGCTTTGGGAGCCCATTCCACATAGAGGGATACTCTTTTAGCCTAGACACATTGGGGAGGGCCTGGGCCGTGCTCCAAATGATGTGACAGACTTTGAAGATCCCCCATGGAAGGTCTCACCCTCCCTGGGGAGCAGAAAGGGGATAGGATGGGGATTGGGGGGGCAGGAGAGAACGGGAGGGTGAGGGAACTGGGATTGACATGTAAAACAAGCTTGTTTCAAGTTTAAATTTAAAAAATTATAGAGAGAGAGGGGGGGGCGGTTAGAAGTAAAGCCAGCAAGGTAGAGACAATGCATTGCTCTGACTAGTTAAGGAAGAAAAACAGGAGAACTACTCTTTGATTTTTGTATCAGAAGCTGACTAGCCTGTATATTTTTTTAGTTAGAAGCAGTGTTTAAAGGTTATACATGTAAAACAACTGTGTTCAAAGCAGCTAGCTACCTGAGGTCCTTTAAGATGTCATCTGTTACACATAGTGCTTTAATAGTAAGTCTGGGTCGGGTGGGGGGGCTGGAAAGATGGCTCAGTGGTTAAGAACACTGCTTGCCCTTCCAAAGGTCCTGAGTTCAATTCCTAGCAACTACATGGTAGCTCACAACCATCTGTAGCAAGAGCTAGTGTTCTCTTCTGGCCTACAGACATACATGCAGGCATAACACTGTGTACATAATAAATAAATAAACCTTAAAGAAAAAAAAAGTAACTCTGGCTAGGTGTAGTTGCCAATCCTGTAAAAATCCCACTTAAGCTGCTAAGACAGGAGGATGTCTGTCATATTCTAGGCCAGCCTGAACTACATACACAGTGAGTCCCCCTGCCTTAAAAAAAGAGAAAAGGAGAAAGAAAGAAAAGAAAGAAGGAAGGATGATAGATAAATTGATTGATCTAGGACTAACCCTGCCCCTGAATTAGCTTGCTGAATTTATATTTTCATTCAGTAACCAACTATATTGTGCTGTGCAGTTCCTCACTCCAATTTTTCAAGTTTTTCATGGTTGAATTCCTCTGGCATTGAACAAACTACTCCCTTAGTCCCAACCAGTGCATTGCCAGAAATCTGGAAGACTGTTAAGAAAACATTAAAATTCATATTGCTATAGCCTGACCTTAGTTATCTTTTTCTTAATCACCGTGTGACTGTAGTTACAGGGTCTGTCTTTTGTTGTTGTTGTTGCTTTGAAATGGTCTTGCTATATTTCCCTGGCTAACTTCATACTTGTAGTTACCCTTCTACCTCTGCCTCTCAAGTTTGGGGATTATAGGCATGTGCCACCACATCTGGCTCAGATGTGTCATTTTACTCCCTGGAATATTAGAAATGCATTTGGTGGAAACAGTGCTTTATTGGCCTTTATTGAAGTATCTCAGCGCACACATCTCTTTCAATGCAGATGAACAGGAGGCATTAGACTCGATCATGAAGGACCTGGTGGCCCTCCAGATGAGCAGACGTCCCCGGGTGTCTGGATATGAGACCATGAAGAACAAGGACTCGGGTCACCCAAATAGGCAGGTAGGTATGCGTGGCTCTGATAGAGCTTAACCAAACTTATTGGGAAGGGGTTTTCAAATGAGAAGCTGTAGCACGAGTTCTAGTAGGTCTCCATAATAAAAACTCAGAGTTAGCAGTTGGGGGTGAAAGCTGAAGGATCAGAGAAGAAAGCAGCCAGCTACTAGAGAGTTCTTACCTCTACCAATGCTTACCTCTACCAGTGCTCAGACCAAAGGGGTAAGCCTGTCCTCAGCACTGAGCTCTTGTTTTCCTGAATTATATTCTTCTCTCCGCCAAGCCACATCACTCTTGTCTCCATCTCCCTAAATCTGGGATTAAAGGTGTGTCCCACCAAGTGCTGAGATCACCTTTGTGTGAGCTGTTTCTCTTTTAGACTGGATCAATTTTGTGTAGCCCAGAGTGGCCTTGAACTAACAGAGATCCATCTGCCTCTGTCTCCCAAGTGCTGGGATTAAAGGTGTGTGCCACCACTGTCTGGCCTCTATGGCTAACTCTGATCTTCAGGTAAACTTTATTTGTTAGATCTTAAACAGAATAGCACCACAAGAAGCTAATACTCTTATACTAGGCTTGAATACTGTTGGTCCCTTTCACACTGGTGTTAAATAGTGAATGATATGTAGCAGCCAGGTATGAGTCTTCTTGGCATAGCATTTCATCTGTGGAGAATTAAGAATAATTCTCTCTTTACCAAAGTAGTCTATATTCATGTAATTCTTTTGCTTTTTTGATTATTTGGCAGATTAGAGTCTTGATCTGTAACTTGTAATATCTTCAGCTACCGTACAGTATATATTCAAGAAAAAATAATTTTTTATATTATCTTATATAAAATATAATTAGAAGGGTAATTCAACTATTAAAGTATATAACATTTTAAGAGCAATGCTGAATGATTTTATTATTGTTGCTTCTGATTATTGGCTTGGATATTTTAGAGTCTCTTTTTATTGAGAGTCATGTGCTGCTTTAGAAAAACATTTCCTATTTTTGTTAACATTTAAATTTATGTGATGTTGAAATCTCTCATGTCTGGTATCATTTATCATCCTGTTTCCTGGTTAAGTTGGCCTTCAGAGAAGAGTGTATGGATGGGGTCCCACATAGTCTAGAGGGTGTCTAGTGCTCTTTTTGATGGCTCTGGTTGGTACTCAAGTATGTATGCTTGATGAAAATCTGTCCAAGACATGCTGGGTCATCTTATTAGCTAACCTCTTCTCATTTAATCTTGTCTATCAATTGTTGAGAGTTACAAAAAAAGTTTAAGTCTTTCGAACTTTTTTCTGTCTGTGGGCTGCTAGATATACCCTCCCAGTGTATTTCCTGCCTTTAGGAATTCTAGGTTCCCTGGGGATTAGCGTAATGTTTTTGCTCCACGTTATAACAGATTAGTTTAGAAAGCTGTCTCTGTTGTCGTGGTTATCTTACAGAACAGGTTAGGACTCATTCTTACTGGTTTTGTACATTAATCTACCTAATTGTGTGGCTTCCCCTTTGCTGTAATTTTCTTGTGTTCAAAGCCGTGTTGGGAAGGAACATTTTTACCAGAAGTGAGTCCCCTCCCCCGCAGCTTGAGTCTAATGACTTCACTTTCCTTCCTGTCTTCCCATGTGGAGTGTGCTTGCTAACACTGCTGCAGTTAGCTGATCTTTTTCTAACTGGACTGTTGGCATGGGTAGCAATTAGTGGGTGAAAAGAAAGCCCTAAGGGATCGCTCCAGGAAAAGGGGCAGAGATAGTCCTGGATAGTTTCTTAGGAATGCTGCTTAGAACTTCAAAGCTGTTACCAAAGAGTCTTGCTTTAAAAAGCAAAAACAAAAACAAACTCTGCCGGCTGCTGTAGAGTGAGTCAGTGGTTATGAAGGTTATGGAATGGATTATTTATTAGAAAGTAGTAGTAACAAGAGCTATTGGCTCTTTGGCTCCACATCGTTTTTCTGTTGCATAGAGGATACAAGTTACTAACCTCAGTTTTTTTATTTTTTTAAAAAAAAGCACAACAGCTGCAGTTCAGCCCTTCTGAACAGTCCCATATGAACAGCAAGTTCATGTGCAGGGGCCTTTTTCTCATGTGAGAAGAAGAAAGTTTTGGTGAGGGCCCAAATTACCTGTGAATGCCAAAAATGTACTTTTAAACTTGCCACTTGTTTCCTGGACAAAGTATGTTAGTGGATTGTAGAGGTCATTGGTTAGTGTGCCCCAATTTCTGTCTTGTAGGACCATTTCCCACAGTGGTATTACTCAGCAGTAGCCTCTGTCAGTTCTGTCCAGTAAAGTTTCTGTGTGGACGGAGTGTTCCATATCTTTGATGTTCAGTGTGGGAGTCACTGACCACATGCAGCTGTTGAGCAAATGGATTTTCTACTTTCTTTAGTTTTAGTTAAATAGCCATATGTGGCTTGTAGCTATTGTATTGGACAAAACTACTTTATAAACAATATAGGGGCCTTTTTTCTTGGTAGGAAGACAAGAAGATATTACATGCTTAGAAATGTACAGATTCATTGGTGAATTCATTCCTTCTCTCTAGGTCATTAGTTTCTATATTCTGTGATGAGCTTATCAATTTGAATCATCTTTAAAGGAAATGTGAAGCTGAAGAACATGGCTTTTTACAGTTTTAAGCTCAAGCTGGGCAGTGGTGATGCATGCCTTTAATCCCAGCATTTGGGAGGCAGAGGTGGATCTCTGTGAGTTAGAGGCAGCCTGGTCCACAGGGCAAGTTCTGTGAGAGTCAGGGCTATACAGAGAAACCCTATCTTGAACCCCTCCCCCAAAAGGGAGGGTCAGAGATAGCTCAGCTGGTAGAGTGCATGAGGCCCTGGGTTCAGTTCCCAACAGAGAGAGAGAGAGAGAGAGAGAGAGAGAGAGAGAGAGAGAGAGAGAGAGGGAGAGAAGGAAGGAGAGAGTGAGGCTCAAGGTTTTATGCTAATAGATAAAATGGCAATAAAAATACCAAGATACCTTTTTCCTTTTAATGAAGTCAATCAAGGTTTCTTGTGAGAAATGTAGAAATTTTTGGAAAGTATTTAGCAAAATCTTGAAGACAAAAAGAATGCATTTCTAAGAAATTGGATGAGATACGAGTATAGGAAACACATGGGAAGATGTGTTTATAGGTTAATGTCATAAAAAGAATCTGACATGTGAATAGTCTGTTAATCTGTTAACATAGATCCTTATGGTTTATAGAGTGATTAATCATTTATTATTATTCTTTTTGTAACAAAAAATTAGGTTTGAAAAAGTATAGTGTTTTGGATTTTTTAAAATTTTATATATATGAGTATTTTACCTGAATGTATGTCTGTGGACCACATGCATACCTAGAAGTACATGGGTGTCAGAGTTGAACAACACAAAGTTAAAGATAAAGGTAATCAAGTATTTTGGCTGGTGAGGAAAATGGTTCATTCAAGGGTGCAATGGTGTTAGGTGAGGCAAGTAGCCCTTCAGTTTGAGAATGACAATATCAAGTTGAGATTGGCACAGCAAGAGAAGCCAAAACTTCTGAGCTCATTGACAGAATTGTTTGGGTCTGAGGCCTGGAAGAAATAGAAAATCTAATTTGAATATCTGCTTGGCAAGACTTTAGACATCCGATTCCCTAAGTAAACATGCTTGGTAACCAATTGAAAGAGAAAATAAATTTGAGTATAAATAAGCATTCTAAGTAATTATGGGAGTTCATGGGCAATGGGTTCTCAATTGTAAGCTATTTGTTAGGAGATATGTTTGTGATTTTTGCAATTTCCCTTCTGTATGTTAGGTTCCTAGACGTCAATATCATAGTTAAGGCTGGCTGAACATCTTGGATATATGACACATCCTAGGTATAGCTGGAGCCTGTGCATGGCTTAATAGTCCATGCTACACAACCTCTCTCTCTCTCCCTCTCTCTCCCTCCCTCCCTCCCTCTCTCTCTCTCCCTCCCTCCCTCCCTCCCTCTCTCTCTCTCTCTCTCTCTCCCTCCCTCCCTCCCTCTCTCTCTCTCTGCTTGTTTTTTGAGACGGGGTTTCTCTGTTGTAGCTTTGGAATATGTCCTGGCATTAACTCTGTAGACCAGGCTGGTCTCAAACTTACAGAGATCTACCTGCCTCTCCTTCCAGAGTTCTGGAATTAAAGGCATGTGCCACTACCACCTGACATACAGCAGCATCTCTTTAGCACTCAACAAGTCACAGTTCATTATTAATAGATGCTAGTTTTTCATGGAGCTGACAGCCTAGTGTAAAGTACACTGGCCCAGTAGTCACAGGATTGTTTGTTAATCACCTGTTGACACAGAGTTTTATGATAGCAGTTAACAATGTCAATATAAGCAATATTTGTATGGTTTGCAGAGCTCTTACACAAAGATTTGGAGTAGAGCCAAAAAAATAGACCTTTTGGTTTCTAGTCACAACAATTTTACCGAATGTAATTCAGATAACTTTTGTGAACCTATTTTTCCATTTGAAATAGACATATTTAATACTCACTGTTTCCACTTAAGATTTTTTTTGCAAGATCAGAGAATGTATTTTGCACATTATACAAATGTACAAATGTAAAGTTGTAATGATTTTATCATTTCTTTTGTATGCTAGCACTATGGATTTGAGCTTTGGGGAAAGTCAACTTCTAACCAGAACTATGCATGTTGTTGTGGAACTAAAAGTGTTAAGGTTTTGCTTCCTTTATTGGCTTGTCATTACTAATTAATGATCTTTTTGCAAACTTGTGAATCTAGCCCCATTTCTGATGAGCCCATTGGAGAAAGAAACATAATCTTTATTTCCACGAATTTCTGTTTCTTAAATCTTACTACTCTCTCTGCTTGCATAAATTCCAAGGTCAGGATCTGATTCTTCAGATGCCCTCTAGATGTCCACTAGTGGGTACTTCTGCGTAGGAAAGCTGTTTTCTTTGCTGCAGGCACAAGCAGGGTCTTGGTTAGAAGTTCCAGCTGCAGAGAGTTCTAGGAGAGCTTATCCTTACCAGGCCAGAGATTGAGCCTGT